ATTAAAACCCTAACATTTAAGCACTTATTAGTATTATATAGAATTCATTTTAATTAACTAATGAAAAAATAAGATAAATATTTATATAAATATATTTTCCTTAAAATAAGATAAATTTTAAAATAAATAATAATACATTACAATAAAACACATAAAAATATGTATTTTTTAAATTGATTATGATAAATTAAATTGTGAAATTTTTTACACATAATAACTCATAAAAAAATTCTTTCTAAATTATTATTAAAAAATAAGAAAAAAAAAAATATTTACATTTAACATTTTTAATAAAAAAAAATATGATGTAACTACTTCTAACATAATGAATATCTCTCCTACTTTATTTCTCATACACTTTTAGTTAATTTCGCTCTCCAACGTTATCGAACAAGTTGCCATTCATAATGGGCGACTTTGGCTAGTTGTAAATTTAATTTTTTTATTGTTTTTGCTAATTATATTATTAAGCGTAATTATTTAAAATTATCCTGAATATTTTAGTGTTTTATATGCGAGAGTCGAAGATATTTATGCTTGGGTAGTATAAAATTTCACTTATAAAAAAAAAAAAAGGGGATTAAGAGCAGATAACAGCAGGAAACATGCAGAATATACTGTTCCGACAAAATCAACGGCTGTAATTGGTGGCCGTTGCTTTTGGGCGGTTCAGTTCCGACTCTCCGAGTCCACTAATCCGCTAAATAACCGTTCAAACTCCACGCCGTTATATAATTTTGCTCTCTGATATGGACAGAGAAGAGAGAGCAGAGAGAAACTTGAAAAAAAAGAATGGATAGATGGTGTGATCAGAGGAACATGGAGTTCAGAAGAAGATGCAAAGCTCAAGGAACCTGGTAGAGCCAGCACGGCCCGCGTAATTGGTCAGTGATTTGCAAGGAGATCCCGGCCGCTCCGGCAAGTCGTGTCGGTTGCGTTGGTGCAAATCAGCTGAGCCCCGACGTCGAGCACCGCCGTTCAACGTGGAGGAGAACAATATATATAGCTCGGGCCCAGGAAACGCTAATGGGAACAAATGGGCGACTATCGCTCGCCTTCTACCTGTCGTACTGATAACGCATTAAAAGAATCCACTGGAACTGCACGCTGCGCCGTCTTAAGCGCACTTTCAGCTTCTTCATTATCTGATTTGGAGTAGAAGTTGATGAGAAAAAAAGAGCGCGAGGGAAAAATGTGAATGATGGAGAAAGATCAGGATCGATAACAATTCTTTCTCTGAGTTTGCCCGGAGAGGAGGAGGAGTGGTGGTGAGTGGTTTGAAAGGGGGAGGAAGAAAAAAGATTCAGGAGATGGGTTTTTTGGACGTAGTGACGAGAAGGTAGGAGGAAAAGTTGAACTTTTTTTTTTTTTCAAATGTAAAAGTCTTTCTTTTAAATTAATTCTGGTGGTTTGACTTCTCTCTCAATTTATTTTGTGATTTTTTTTTTTGGGATTTATTTTATTGTCTTCGTAATGATGATTTTAGTAATTGGCAGGAGAAATTATTATTTTTTTAGGAGATATTTGAATAGGAAAATGTGGCTTTCATTGATTGGAAAAAAAACTCTTTTTATTGTGGTAAAGATGTATTGAAGGACAAAATTAACAATATTAATGGATATTATTGGATTTAATATTCAATTTTCACCTCTTTTTCTTACTTGGGCGCCATTTTTTCTTTATAAATGTCATAAAAAACTTTAGTTTGATAAAATATTTTTCAACTTCGAGAGAGAAATTGGGTTTATCGAGGGGTTCTCTGCTACGGTTTCGCATCCTGGCCGTCTTTCATGCTTTCCTCGTCGACCACCTTCAGGATCTCTTAGTTCGTCATCTTCGTGCTTCTCAGTAAATTAAGTTATCTAAACTTCTTGCGGTTGGTTAATTTCTCTTTCAAGTTGGTCAGTAGCAGCTGGTTGCTTTGTTTGCTGTGGTATTTACAATTTTGGGATTTTTTTTCCTCATTTCTTGATTTTTGTCGAAGTGATGGCTACCTTCCCTAGCTCTTAAGAGATCTAATCTAGGTTTTCTTGATGGTACCTCAAACTCTAAGAGAGGCTCTCGCTAGATCCTCTTCTTCTTCTACTTTTCTGGACTAAAAGCAACCACTCATCATGGTTATTGTCTTCTCTCGGATTTCCGAAAGAGTAAGTTCAAGCTTTGGCAATTTCTCTTGTTAGAAAAAGTTCCCTTTTCGCCGTCCTCTCTGGATGCAATTTGAAAACTTTTTTACTTAAAATTATCTAGGGATTTATCTATAACTTCTTTTTACCCTAAACATGTGTAATCAAGCTATTAAACGATATAGATACAGTTAATTTTTTCTCATTGGGCTTATTATGTTCAATTGCTACATGAAGCCTTATTAAATGTTTCACTAATAACTGTCGATATCTCTATTTTAGTAATCTCATATCATACCCATTTGTCTATCTTTTTTCTGAACCTTAGACCATATTTCTTTTTCACAATGTATATTCATATGTTTGGATTTCTCTTTAGCAGGTCTCCTTTATATTGAACAACAACTGTGCTGGGTCCAGACCCATCAGTTGCATGCTCGTATTCTTATGAAACTTAAGTATAAAAAAAAAAAAAAATTCAGTGTGGCTTGGACCAAGAGAATTCAAACATGTTTCAAAAAAGTTATTATAATGTTTCCCTTAATCTCTGAGCACTGTAAAAACTATTGGAGCATGATAAGGCAGACAATTGAGAAAACCTAATATTAGATTGATAAAGGTAAAAATATTACTAATAATGAAAAGTATCTTCTATTAATACTCCCTTCCACATGAATGTTTCAAACTTTGAACAATCCCCTAGTTCTAAAGAGCAATTTTGATGGGCTTCACCTAATATTCACGATTCCCTGGTGAATTCTTCTAGTGGAATTAATTGAATGAGAATGAGATTTGAGTGGAGCGAATGCGTATGAAAAATGAGCATACATGCTGAGCTTTCTGGGTTGTATTCCTTTAGGTTGGCAATGCGACTCCCTTTATCTTCAATTAAGGATAATCAGGCACTCATATCTGCTCATAGCCGCAAGTGAGAGCCTCCTAAAATTTAAACTAGATAGGAAGGGGAGGTTCACTCTGATGTGGATCAAAATATATTGTTTTCAAAGAACAGATCTTAACTTTCGAATATTTGTTCATGTAAATCCCTCTAATTATTGGTGATTTGTAAAAAGTTCTTTACTTGCTCTCTTTTATTTTTTTTGATGTGTCAGTAGGTTCTTTATCCTTTCCTGAATACAATGTAAAACCACATTAATAAGCACATGAGCCCAACAAGTAACTTAAAATCAATGCAAGATAAAAGGGATAATATGCTATAATATCATGTGAAAAAAATATATGTATCAATTGTTTATACTGGGTTATTTGTATCAATTTAGCTTTCTATAGTTTCAATCACATCTCAATCTTATTAACATCATCAGTTAGTCTAGTAGTAACACTAAATAATACTAACAATAATATTCAAATGAATATAACAAAAATATATTATCGTTAGTCACAATATTCATAAATTATCGATAATCAGAGTATTTATATATTCAATAAGCATATCTTAATTAGTATCTTTCTCCTGCACTAAGTGACTCTCAATGAAACTTCCCTTATAACTCCCAATTAAATACTTCTTTTTACTCCCATTGAATCATACGATATGTTTGCCCAACTCCTTATAACTCATATTCAATCTCCAACTCCTTATGACTCACAACTGATGAAATCACATGAATTAATAGGGCATCACGTGGTGTTACTATATCATGTATCTGAAATCATTCATTTTTCATCAAAATCTTGATTCAAATGATTTTAAATATATAATAATACAAACTTGTACAGTGATATATGAATAAAATAAAATCAGCAATAGGAATGATGCTAAATATGTGGGCAAATTTTTTAAAATAATTACTCAGTTAATCATAATAAACTAACTTAGCACACTAAGCAATAAAAAAATTAAATTTACAACTAGGCAAGGTCGTCCATTGATGGCGACTGTTAAGTTTCTAAAATATTAAAAAAAAGATTTTCGAGAAGTAACGTTGAGAAAGCGAATTAACTAAAAAGTGTATGAGAAATATAA